CCATTTAAAAAAACATAACTTTGATATGGTACGCTTTTCCTAGACACCCTTTATATCTCTAAATATTTTTAAAATGTAGCCATAATCAACCTACACATACCCACCTAAACAGGTTTCTATAACATTTGCCGTTTGGTCACTAACGACCGAGGCGTTACTGGTGGCCCACCCTGTATACCAATGCTAATTGTATCTATGTTGATGACCTCATTTCTACAGAAATTTGTTTTTTAAATGACAGTACAATAAACCCATCATATTGGGATAAAAATGACAAAAATATCTAATAAATAGGCAAAAAAAACAAACGAGAAGATTAAAACTAATTCTAACACCTTGTCTCTTAATCTCTAAAAATATATTATTATATCTGATGATGTGATGGAATATTTGGATTAAATGCATTTATATATACAGGGTGATTCACAAATGGTGACCAAAAATGAAACCTCGTATTCTTTGGTGAATTTTAAGGGAAGTGTTTCCTATAAAGTTTTTATTTAGGACGCTTCGTTAAAAAGATATAGGGTGTTAAACTTCAAAAAATATTTTTAATTTTTTTAAATAATTTTAAAACTTGTAAGTGAAGTAATTTGAAATTGGGCACATGTATTTATGTAAACGTTGTCCAAAATCTGGGGGCTTTTCCTAAAATTTATATACAGGGTATCGGTGGCATATTTCTCTAAATAAAATAGTACGCCACTGCTTTACGGTAATAACCATGATATTTTCGGATTCGTTTTTCAGTTTTCTACAAATCAATACACTCTTTTGTTTCTCGAAAAAAAACTTGTTCGAAATTTATTGTTGCTTAAATCTGATGAAAAGCATTATTTCATTCTTTCTTCTAACTGCTCAGAATGTCAAAGTTGCTATCGCAGCCTACTATGTAATTTTAAAGTGTTCTCAGTTCGTTTTTTAAGTTTTACTCTAAAATCAGTCCTTTTTTTGAAAAACAATTTGTAAAAAATTGAAAGACGAATCCGAAAATATCATAGTTATTGCCGTAAAGCAGCGGCGTACTATTTTATTTAGAAAAATATGCCACCGATACCTTGTATCTCCGCCACTGGAGCACGTAAATTTTAGGAAAAGCCCTCATATTTTGTACAATGTTTATGTAAATACATGTGCACAATTTCAAATTATTTCACTAACTACTTTTTAAGTTATTTAAAAAAATTAAAAATATTTTTTGAAGTTTAACACCCTGTATCTTTTTAACGAAGCGTCCTAGGAAAAAACTTTATATGAAAGACCCCTTAAAATTCACCATAGAATACGAGGTTTCATTTTTGGTCACCATTTGTGAATCACCCTGTATATAAGGAAAACTGGGGCAAAGTTAAAGAGCAGAATGTAAATCAGCTGTTTCACTCAGTTGTCGGCACCCACTTTGATCTCATTCAGTCGTTTTCGGTGTCCTTGGTATCTGATAATAGATTTCTACTAGAAAAGGTAATTCAAATTAATATACTTAATTCGATCGATTTAACTAATTTTGGACAACTTTTCAGGTCATTTTAACAATTGGTATTTGTGGACCTCTGAGAAGAGATGAGCTACTAAAGATAACGATCGATGATATAGAAGACAAAGATTCAATTATTATTATAAGAATTCCTGATTCCAAAACTCACACTCCCTGAAATTAAACAATTGCAGCAGCAGCCTCATTGGACACCCAGAACTAAAAGCTCCGATAACTGATGACAGCACTGGATCTGACATAAATTTAACTAACTGTTTATAATAGTTACTATTTTGTACTGAAATGTTATATTACTTAAAATATATGTAAAATCATAAAAAGTCTCGAAAAAATTACGTGTGTAAAATGTTGAATTTTCATGACAGTTTTAATAGGAGATAGTTTGTTCTCTTTCCTTTGTTGGCATTCATGCCTGAGGCTGTGTTTTATATTTGTAATACACAAAATTGTATTATTTTACATATTATCTTTAGCATGTTACATATTTTATGCAGACTAAAAACAATAGAATAATCCCATGTAGAAGACGAGCTCTTGTACAGAAAATTCGGCTGGAAATGTTTCTTTGTAAAAACTATTACGCAATTTATTGTATGAATCATTAGGAAATATTTTATTTTTAAAATCCATTGCAAATATCAGTAAATCATTTTTCTTATCGTGTTTTTACGTTTATGTATGCTTTTAGAGAATCTATATCTTATTCTGAATTTTATTGAACACAATTTCCAAACTGTAAAATACGTCACTGTTTATTATACACAGCTAGCAAATTGTAGAGAATCTCTGCAGACTGAAAACGATGCGCAGTCTGTTATATTATTATCTTACGATTTCCGCTCATCTCGATTTGCTGGTTTACATAACGCTGATTTAAATACACCTTGCTATAAATGTAGCCCAAGTCTCCCCTATACGTATCTTGCTAAATTTTCAGATTATTTCCCGGCACCAAACAGTGACCTTACTTGTTAGTTGTACGGTTAGGGGTGAAGGCTCCTCCTGTGTGTAGAATCCCTGAAATAAGCCATACTTGATCGTATTCGGCTTAGTCAGCCCTTGACTCAGCCACAGAGCATTGTCGGTGACAACCCACTGCTCCGTCACCAGTGACACCAGAGTCAAGAGCGCACCTATCGCCGATAATATGCAAACGATGAAGATGAACTCCCTCTTAACGGTCGCCATTTGTCCACTAAACTAACTTTACTCGACAAACTTAACTATTTGCACATCTTTACGGTGAGCAGACGGCACTGAGCTTATCTGAAACAATATGTAGGTGATTTTTTTATCGTTTCATACTTCCATTATCTTATCAATTGATTGCTGAGGTCACTTATATTTGATTAAATAAGCGTAAAAATGGTCTATTATCTGTTCTGAGTAATATCGAGATTTCGATTTATTTTATTTTAATTGAACGTATCTGACACATGGAACTGTTTGAATTCGGTGTTCTAAATACGTGTTTTGCAGCTATGTTGTTGTTTGCTTTACGATTATAGTGATAGCCTAGGTACTAGGATTATAAATGTGGGTGCTTATGATCTAAAATTCTCTTATCTATTTACATTTACTTGTATCCTTGTCTAGTATTCATTAAATTTAATTAGATTTCTTCCAGCAAAATAAACGCATATTGAGTAAAAAATTATACCCAACGAATGCGTACACATTCAAAACTTTGTTATTGTTTTTATGAACATTTTTTTTTTTGAATTTATAAACATGAATGTCCAGGATCAGAAGATATATTTTTATAAATTACTAATTAATTATTAATTAGGTTATATATAAAATAAAAATACATGAACTCCATTAGAGGTTTAAAGTGGTAGGTACTGGTACTTTTCCCAAAAGCCGTTTCTAAAAATATTCCAACTGAATCATGGCAATTGACTCAAGAAGTACATCTGGAAGGCCTGTACATAAAATTAATTATACAGGGTGATTCGGGTTTAATATGGATAACTTCAGTTGGAACCAGGTTTAAAGGATGCTGAATGAGAATACGTAATCTGTTTTTTGAAAAAAAATCGCTAATACCAATTAGCTGTTTTGATGTCAAAAAACGCCTTCTAGGTGGCCATTAATAAAAACAGCAGTTAGATCAAGTTTTTTTACCCTATATTCTAAAAAAAAAATTTGAAATCGGCCAAAAAAAGCGCGACACCCTGTATTTAATATTCAACATAATTAAAATACTATTTTAAATACTAAGTAATTTATACTTAAAATACTTTGTATAAGAAGTATTTTGTTTTAAGTATTTTAAAATACTTTTATATTACTATTTTGTAATTTGTATTTTAAATACATTTTGAAAGTATTTTGCCCAGCTGTGGATAGATGTCGCTGTATCTAGCCACAGCCAATAAGGTTCATTAGCAATTATTAGAAGAAGAAGAAGTCGTGAATCTGTGAAATATCAAAACCAAGTGCACAGAACACCCTCACCCACAGAGGGTGTTCTGTGTTCTGTGATCAAGTGATCGCATTCGCATCAAGCAAGGTGAAATAAATCAAAACAATAATAAAAATAACTCGCAGTTTTGGGTTTATAAAAGTGAATGGTCGCCAAATAAGTGATGGAGATTGTTACGAATAGCTACATGCCGGGCGATCCCAGGCTTATAGAGCAATTAGTATACGAGTTGAAATCGCAAGGTATATTTGATCAGTTTCGGAAAGAATGTATTGCAGATGTGGATACGAAACCTGCATATCAAAATTTGAGGCAAAGGGTTGAGGGCAGTGTAACATCATTCCTCCAACAACAGACCTGGAGACCTGATATGAATAAAAACCAAGTTCGAGAACAACTTCGGAAGAATATATACGAGTAAGTATATTTATTGCCTGCGTTCAAGAAATCACTTAAAACTTTCTAGGTCTGGTTATTTGGAAACTGGCGTGGAACGAATCGTAGATCAAGTAGTGAACCCGAAAATCAATACAATTTTTTTACCTCAAGTCGAGGACGTAGTGTATAGGTACTTAGGAATAGAAAAACCTAATCGCCTGGAAGTTAAGAAAGAATTAAAAATAGATGTAAGTGATTTACTACCGACAGATCTTGAAGCTATTTCTCCTGAATCGGATACCAAAGATGATAGTCTAATATTCAACGAATCTGTAAATTCAGAAACTAAGATGGAAGAAGACGAAAGTCCACCTTTTGAGCCAATAGACGTTCAAAATAGTGGAATACAACATGAGGAGAACTCTGTGGATTCGCATTTATCTGGATTTTCAGGTAAAGCATGTCCTTTCTTTCGAAATACTGTTAAAATTACTCGAGTACTTTTTATTTTAGGTTTACAAAGCCACGATTCTAACCCGTGTATGGAGCCGAAAATATGCCAGATGGATTTGTCTAATCAGGATTCACAGGTTTCTCAGAATAGTTCGGATAGTCGGTTGTCAATCATTACATCCGAAGACAATACTAAAATGGAGATTCGCGAGGATTCCGACTCAAAATTATTGAGATCTAGCGATTCCAATTCCTTGATGGAAAATCCTCTGAAAGTGGAAACGTCTTTTGATTCAAATTCTTTAGTGAAGGATGACGTAACGAAAGCTGCCGACGAAATAGATTCGAACAGTGACAATAACATGTTTGACGATAAGAACTTAAAGAAACAAGAAGATGAAAGAGAAGTGGACAAAGCGAGCGACAGTGCAAAGAAAAAACAGGTTGATGAGAAGCAGGGCGAAGATAGAAAATATAACGAACGAAAATCAGACGACAAGAAAAATAGGAGCTCGGAGAAGTACAGTTCAAAGGATAAAAAGGATGATAAATATAAAAAAAGTAGTGGTAGTAGCAGTAGGGAAAAGGAAAAGTCCAGTTCGAAGTATAGTTCGTCGTCTTCGTCTAAGGATAAGTCTAAATCTAGAGATAGGAAGGAGTCGAAAAGTAGTTCAAGCAGCAACAAAGAAAAGGATAAAAATGGTAAAAATGAAAAAGATAAGGATAAGAATGAGAGGGATAAAGATAAGAATGACAAAGATAAAGATAGAAATGAAAGGGAGAAAGAAAAAGATAAAAAAGACAAGTGCGAGAAGGAGAAATCCGATAAAAGCAAATCAGTGAAAGAGAAAGAAAAATCCTCAAAGGATAAAGATAAACCAAAAAGCTCTAGCAGTAGCAGCAATAGTAGCAGCACCAGCAAAAACAACACCAAAGAAAAGGACAAAACCTCTAGTAGTTCAAAATCGGACTCCTCCAAAAGAGACAAGGAAAAATCCCGTTTATCTAGCTCGAGCAGCTCGAAAGATAAATTGAAATCAAACCATTCCGACTCAAAATCTAAATCATCGGACAAGCACAGAAGAGACGACAAAAGCGCACACTCCAAACACTCCAGCAGTTCGACCAGCTCAAAAAAGGACAAGGACAAGAAAAAGGACTCGAAAAAAGACGTTAAAGATGACCACTACAGCTCCAAGGATAAAAAAAGTGATCGCCGATCAACCGATCGAGACTCAAATGACGGCCGGTCGGGCAGACAAGCTCAAGCAAACTCCTTCACGGAGAGCAGCTCCTCGCAAGGGCAGAAGACTAACCAGGAATCGTCGAATTCGAACAGCGGAAGCGGCTCGGGCGATTCGGGAACCTCAGATCAAAACGAACATACAATAAAGTCTCCGATTAAAACGGTCGAGCACGGCGACACCAAAGAATTCACGTCTTGCCTCGACACGCAGAAATTTAAGTACCTAAAACCGAAGTTCGCCTCGAATTTTCAGGAAGCTAGAAAGTTGATGAAGATAAGAAAGCAGCTCGCCAAGCTGGAGAGGCATAATCAGTTGAGTTTGGCGCAGATCGAAATACCGACAGAAATGCCGATGGTAAACGGTGTAAATTGCGCAGAAAAAGATATTAGTGATACGGAGGACAAAAATATCGACGAAGTTAATAGAGAATCCCAAATCGCGGAAATAACTGTGTGTAAAACGCCTCCTAAGGACAATTCCCTTCAACTGCAAAGCAGGGAATTGAGTCAAGAGAATTGGGAGGCACTGGAAGCACGGTTGGCACAAGAAATGTCCAATATAAACTATAACTCGTACGAATCTCCTTACGACGACTACGATTATGGTGGGTGTAATTCGGTTTCGACGAGCCCTAAAAAGTTGTCTTTGGATACAAGAGAAAAGTTAAGGAAGGCAGAAAACGTAGGGAAAATCTCGGAAACCAAGTTGAACAAACCAGAAAATCAAATCAGTAAAGTTATTTGCGTTATGTTACCGCAAATAGATATAGGAAGTAAATTACAAGAAATGGATGTCGGGACTAAAGCAATAGAAAAGGATAACGCTTCGGAAAGCGTGGGATCGACGACAGTAGAAGATAGTACAAACGAGGAAAATAAAGATGATAAAAACTGCTTAGTGGAAGAAACAATTGGTGTGCATCAAGACGTAGCAGAAAATAACCCTAGCGACACCAAGACGGGCAAGATAGAACGTAAGGAACCACTGGAAATTGATACAGGCATTACGGAAATGAACGTCGATCCCGAGGATAAAATCGACAATGCTGTAAATACGCATTACAGCGATTCGGAACCGTGCATCTACCTCGAGCCCCTGAGCCCCCGTCTCGATAAAAACCTGCAGTTCCTCTACAGGTACATCGAAAAATTGGAACAGGACGTCAAGCATTCTCTGAAGACCTTCCAGAATAACTTCGTGCCGTTGAAGGAGAGGTACGGGAAGCGCAAGTTGGCGGAAAACGTCGACTTGAGGAACAACAACAAAGCCCACTACGAACAAACCACAGGTACGTACGTATACCACGTGGCTCTATTGCTTCTACATATGTTGTGTATTTTAAGACTTGAAAAAGAGGCGAAGGTCTGTAGCGCCGAATCCGAACTCTGTGATCTCAAAGGCGAATAAAGAGAAATTGTGCGATAGCTCAGGTATTTTTAGTTGTTACGAATACCGAGAAGTAGTCTTTTTACTAACAGTAGTCCGAGTTTCATAACTAATTCATTGATATTTTTCTCGTTTTCTGTTCATAAAATGTGGTTGATTTTGATTGTTTTCAAGATATCTCACCGAACGACAGTTTTTCGCTTCCCCTGAGCCCCGCAGAGAGTGATAAGTCCAATGGGAAAAAGGAGGACGAATCGCCAAAGCCGAAACAGAAACGAGAGACTGGCAAAAGTAAGTGCGACTCTCTTACAATAACACAGCCACAAAAAAAAAGTTGTCTGTACTTTTCATGCGACATATGTTATCCGTAGTATTTTTGCTTCCTGATCAGGAGTCTCGTGTCAGAATTGAGCCGTCACATCATAGGAATTTCCTTACCTCAAAAAACAGATCAAAAATGGCAAAAATTCACGAAAAAGTGGTAGGAAAAATACAAAAAAAAAATTTTCCTATATTCAAATGTTCATTTATATGGTTAAGATCCCGCCGAACGTGAATCCGCGGTCAGAATTGATTATTATTTTTCTAATCTCAAAAAAGTGGGTCAATTAAGGTCAGGTATCGTAAATTTTCGGGGTTTCGAGGTCAATTTCGCAAATTTTAAGATGGCGGATCCAAGATGGCCAACCAAATTTTCAAAAAATAACACATTCGCATCAAAGAACGCAAAATCAGCCTGTTTTTGAGACTTTGACAGAGGCGACAGGAAAAAATTCTAAAAATATTCTAAAAATATCCAAGAACTCGTCATGAAAAATGAATATGAGCATCACTTTCAGTTTTTCGAAAATCACACTTATTTACGGGTTGAAAAGACAAAAAAAGTGAACAAATTAAGAATCATCGACAATTGTAAAACCCCAAATATTTCTGTTGTTATCAAACAAATATTTTTTCACATTATCTACAATTTTTGTATATTTGGGGGATGATTTTACCCCTTGAGAGGGATGATTGATGGGGATATGGGAGTACTTGTGTATAAATTATTCTAATGAATGTATTTCGAAACATTATTTTTTTTTCATGCATTATAATTATTTTATGTACTTTGAAGGCGAGGGTTGAACTTAGGGGTAGTTTTACCTTCATTTGGGGGTATTTTCCTTCGGATCTAGTGATTGTGGGTTATTAACGGTTCAGTTATCACGTATAAAAGAAAAAGAAAAAAAATTGTAGCTTTTAATATATTTTTTGCATTTTTAGGCGTTTAGGGGATGATTTCACCCCTTTAGGGATATTATGGGTAGATTTTCAATCCGGACAAGGCCGTATCAAATACGAAATTAGATATTTTCACGTTCATAATATTATTTTGATAACAACAGAAATGTTTGAGGTTCTACAACTGTTGATGATTCTTAATTTGTTCACTTTTTTTGTCTTTTCAACTCCTAAATAAGGGTGATAAACTGAAAGTGATGCTCATTTTCATTTTTCATGACAAGTATTTGGATATTTTTAGAATATTTTTAGGATTTTTCCTGTCCTCTGTCAAAGTCTCAAAAACAGGCAGAAAAATGGCTTTTTTGCGGTCACTCTTTGGTATACGTGGGCTTTCGGGGTTGCTGATTACGAATTCGAGGTCGGAATTGCAAAATTCAGTTTGTAATATGTTTGTTTACTTTATGACCTGAATACCCAGTCATGTTTTAACCTTATTTTTTTCAGCTATATCTTGTTCTTTTTTTCTGTAAAAGGTCTATTCACGGGTTTTCTGCCTAATCTCAGGTAATAAAGACCATAGGTAATTGATCAAATAATTAATAGGTAATTTTTAAAATAAATCTGATCTCGGATTCGTGATCAGGAGGCAAAAATACTACGGATAACATACGTCGCATGAAAAGTACAGACTACTTTTTTTTGTGTGTGGCTGTGTACCCATCGCTAAAAATTAACACATCTGTAAGTACTCCAGTGTAAAAATAACGAGCGTTCAAATAAAAACGTGGTCGAAGTTGGCTCTGACACATTGGACGTAGGGCGTAGCTTATAGCGACCAGCTTAACCTCATTTCTCAACGAGCTGTATAGCAGCTGTCAGTTTCAATAACAAAGCGGCGATACAGTGCTTTGACAGATGACGTTTAAGTTCATTTGCTATACGCTACGCCCTACGTCCAAATTTTCAGAACCAACTTGACCACGTTTTTATTTGAACGCTCGTTATTACTCGGTGGAACCATAAATATATCAAACAATTTTAACTACTTTTTAATTTGATAAAATAATTTTATGTATTCTCTGTACGAAAATTGTAATGTGCTGTTCATTTCGCATAGTGCTCCAATACCGTGTTGTTACAAACGCCTATTTCTAAGTTTGTTTATCTTTACAAAAATAGAGACAAGTGGCGTCACTTGAATAGTCTTAGTTGTTATGTTGGTACTGATTTTAGGTTTGAACACAAGAAGCCAGAGGTACTCCAGTGAAGACTTGTACAAACCCAGGCCTATCTTTATGAGTTCGAGAAGAAGTCGAGGTGCCAACAATCTTGGGAAATGAGACCGCAAACATTACTTCGTGAATTTAGAGAATTCTAAGATATATTTTTTATATGTTGATAATATTTATATAATACAATTATGCTTATCGTTAAGAGAGTTTTATTACTGAAATAAGTGTACAGGGTGTAACAAAAATATAAGGCTACAGACTTCGCCAGCAGATGGAATTTAAAATTAGTAGGGGTACTTCATATAAAATTTTCGCCTAGAGTGCTTCTTTGATGAGATACAGGGTGTTGAAGTTGAAACAATAAATAACATTTTCTTTAATATCTTTCGACTACGAGCTAATTTTGTATCTGGGCGTTTTTTTGTGGATGACAAATTCGAATTTATCGACGATTTCGTTGTATCTTCTAGAGGCCGCCACAAGCGACCATTAGGACACATTTAAACTACCAAAACTTTCTTGTGGTATCGTGTATTTTACTTTGAGTTAGAAAAATCTTTTCCCCTAACTTTTCTGGTTAAAAATGGTATACCTTGCCTACCGTTTTCAACAAAAAGGCATTTAAATTTGTAAATGTATAAAAAAAATTTGTTTAAAAGTCGTAGTCGTCATAGTTTTGTAAAATATTATTGTGAAAACACTGATAGACATATGAATTATAAAAATTACGTTTATTTTAAGCATATATTTGGTTTTAGAGGCAAAAAGTGCTGCGTTCGAATTTAATTGTCAGCAAATGAAGCAAAATACTGATGAGATCAGAACATATGTATTTAATTATTCGTAAAATAATCGTGGAAATGTTATTTAAAATGGTTGAAAAATGAAGACAAGTCCAAACGTTTTGATGTTAAGGTTCTTATATTAGGTTTTGAAAACTAATAATTTAAGAAAAAGAAATAGTCGTAAAAAAATTTATTTAATTTCTCCTTATATGCCACAATAATACAAACACAAATGCATTTTTACAAAAAATAGTAAAATAAAACCATCATATTGCATACAAGGTGTGACACAACATTGTGTCAAAAATGAAAGAACTGTTTCCTCATTTAAATTGAAGAATATTTTCTTCTATAAATATTTGCTCTCGAAGCCCTCGTTTTTGACACATGAGGTGTAAAAATCTTTAAAAAAAGGTATTTCTAAATATCTTCCGAGGAAATGACAATGTAACAAATGTTGTGTGCTCTCAGTACGTGAGGATGTATTGAGGCATAGGAATGTCATTTGGACACCTTTTATAAAATTATTTAGGTAAATAAATCTAAATTTATCAATTTATCATCATTATCATAATATCATCTTTACAAATGGCTAAAAGCTATGCAAAAAATCAAGAGATCATTTCATTCAAAATTAACTTTACTTTTTTAAAATTACAAAAATGTGTTTTTTGGCCATGGATAAACTTAGAGGAAAACTTCTTTATTTGTCATAGAAACATATACTCCGCGGTCAAAATTATAAAGAGTGATTCAGACATAATATAAAAACACTATTACCGTAATGCGTATAAAATATAAAATGATTTTTATACGGTTCAATATTATTTATCTTTATGCCGCTCGCTACGCACATCGATAAAATCTATAATCGTCTATAGACTGAGTTACACTGAACGTCGATCTATATTCTATCTCTGGCATGAGGTCATAGCATAAGCGTAGACGAGGTGTCTAATTCCATGGCTATAATAAATTTATAAATTAAAAAAACACTATAGTTGATTTTATCTTAAAAATACACATCAATTAAGAAATACATAAAAACTGTTCCTTTTACATCATTTAATGTGTATACTGTGTTCACACATCTGTAGGATGTGACGAAAAATCTTTAAACTGAAATTTTTTCATTTTTGGAAACGATTGTTGTGTATTTTTATTTCTAAAAAACTAAGTAAGTCTCAAGGTAAACACATATTCAAAAAACTGAGGAAAATTATTCACAATTAAAATGTATGTCCATACTTTTACCAAGTTTGATATTTTTTATTTAAAAAGTCATAATAATATTTATTTATGGATCAGGTAATAGGTAACAAAATATGTTCCATAAAGTAAAATAATTACAGTAAATAAATAAGCAAAACCCAACAAGTTAAAACCTTTTGTTTCGATTTATAAGTAAAAGTTTTCTTAAGCCTAAATACTAAATTTGAACTATAAAATTAAAACCAATTGCTACCAAATTTTAGAAAGAAGAATTCTAAGAACGTTTAATAAACTTTTTCCTAATTTTTTACAAAAAGATATGCATTTTACCTACACACCATTGAGAAACTGAAAAAATCAAAATAGACGCTGATTGGTTCCAAATTTTGAAATAGTTTATTTCTAAAAATGTTTTCCTAATGAAATTTTTTGATAATATATTATTCAAAAACGCACCTTACCTATACAGAAGATGACTTATTTTTGTTCCTGACAAATAAAAAAATATATATCTTATAGACCATTGATCAATTTTTGGTAAAAGCTCATTGGAAAAAGTGTTAAGAGTTTGGATTCAAAGCAGGGCCCTAGCTAGGAAGATATTTCAAGAAGAGCAATCAAATTTTCTTCCCAAGAATATCAAAATATCCCAAAATATCCCAAATATCAAAATCTTATTTCCAGAAAAGAATATAAATATTTTTTTAAGCAGGGTAATGCCCTTCTTTACCACATCCTAGTGAAGGCCCTAGATCAAAATAAACCTCTTGCAGAGAGTTGAATATGGGTGTAACTTTAAATAGGAGTCAGTTTTTATAATAGTAAGTTTGTGTTCCCCACAATACTAATCTCAAATAATTTTCTTTACATTGAATCAATAGTCGTGTTTTAAACTGCACTTAAATTATTATCTACGCCATCACTGGGCAGTACCCGAACATGGTTATATGTGTATACTTATCAGTGTTGCCTGTTGTTATCTTTTTAATCGAACTGTATGAAACTAACAATGGAAAATAATTTCGTCAAAGCAGTGATTTTAAAGTCACATATTTTTTAAGTAAAACGAATTTGTGTTTTAAAACAATTATTTTTGTTGTTTTATAAAATGTACACAGTAAAAAAATAAATAAAAATACTTCCTAATTCCATTGTTAAAAATAATTTCAAGTTTTGAATAAAAAGTGCATATACTATTTTCTTAAAGCACTGTGTTTAGTTTCTAAATCTTATGTCAATAACCTCTGACATTAACCTAGTTTAGACATAAATATCAATCCACCTGATGTGACATGACAACAGGTCGCTAGACGGTAAAAAAAGAAACTGCCAACATTAGCTCGATAAAATGAGAATGGACGAAACCCCTTCATTTTATTAAATTTATTTCAGTTTAGTCGAAATAAAATTTGTGTAGAGTACTTTTATTTAGTTTAATTTTAATGTAAAATTTAGTGATATTTACTGAAATGTTTAATGTAGTGTACAGCCTTACAAAGTTATTTATTTCAACGTTTAGTGAATCCATGGTGTGTTTGTGTGTCTTCATTGTTAAATTTACATGTAATTTTATGAAAAAAAAATGTAGATAGTTTAAAAAAGACGAGATTTGACAATAATTATGGATCTTATAATGCCTTCGGCTAGCACACGTGGTTGTTTGAGGTTTGTACACTAGCCTGTTCAGTGGCGGGGTATGAATAATTACAAAAAAAAAAATGTTACGAGAAAAACACAGTTTTCATGTCACCATTGGATAATACGTAGGTGCTTATGAATTTTATGTGTTTCTAAAGATTAAACGTAACCTCCGTATAAATATAGCCCCCATTCAAAGTAACACCCTGTAAAAACGTTTTAAAAATGTTTGTTCATTATCATACTTATTAAATTTGACGGGAGACATGGGAAGTGGTAACATAAATGGATATTGCACTGAATTTACTACTAATCTATTAATACAGAAAACTTATGAAAATTTATCGTTTATTTTTAATCAAGTAAACACTGACAACACCAAAGAATATCAACCAAAAGGCGCCCACTCCAATTCCGTGCAAAACTTGCAAATGGGAAATGTTCCACCCTTTGTTGGCGACGTTCCTAAGTGATTCTATTGAAAGCGTAAACGGTAAGCATTTAGCCAGTATTCTCAGTACGGGTGGCATACCTTCGGTTGGCCACATCAAACCTAAAAAAAAATGGAGAAGTTAATTAAGCTATGCTGGGTGGTCACTTTTAAGGTGTACTTCATTACTATCTCCTGATCTAGAAGATATATGGTTAAATTACAAGAAAATTCCTGAAATATCCTGAAGAGAACTGAAAACTTTCTTATATCTTCCACATCTTTTCTATTATTGAAAATAGAGTAGGTAATGAAAATCAGTACGATTCATAATATGCTCTATCTGTTGGAAGGTTAAAACATTTTCCACGCCTACTAGATTCTTATATTTTCACGTTCAGTGTGACTATTTCTCTCTCAAACAGTGGTTTAACTAAAGTTTAATTTTCTTATGGATGCCATATTAGATTTTTGCACAATTAGATGAAACATTAAATTTCAAGTTCACTTATTTACAACAGCAAATGATAATTTCTTTATTTTCAAACAGAAATGTCAAAATTTTCATTTGTTTTTTTTTCATGGCAACTATGATTAAATCAAATAAATCATAAAATTGATGTTTTTGGCCATTAATAAAATCTCCTCGCCTAAGTAATAATATACATCGTTGGATTCGAAATTTCATACTTCATCTAATTATGCAAAAATCCAATAAGGTGTCTATAAAAAAATCAAAAATTGGTTATGAAAACATGAGGATCTAGGAGGTCTGGAAGATTTTTTAACTTTCATCGCAATAATAAAAAAGATATGAAAGAAAGAAGAAAAGCCAAGTTTTCAGTTTTTTTTCAGGATATTTCAGAAACGGCGCACCTTATCTCCAATCTATCTACATAATCTGAAATGGAATGAAAATATGCAACTTTCTTCTATACTCTGCAGTCGAAATTATAGAGAGTGATTCAGACATAATATAAAAACTATTACCATAATGCGTATAAAATACAGGGTGTCCCGAAATTCATGCAACAAAATTTGGTTACAGATTCTTAAGACAAATTTAGGGGACCCGTATTTTTTATTTTTGCCAAGTGGCCCCCTCTTTCGGAGTTACAGCCCCCTGAAGTCCGCCCCTAAGAATAATCTTTTTTTTATATCTCAGAACCCTGTTGTACGAAAATCACTAAACTTGCCACACTGGGGTTTTATGACATGTGGAATCTGATGGTACTACGTTTTTTGGCGGGAAACCCCCTTAAGACAATTTTTCGTAGACCCCCTTGCTTTTGGAGCCAAAAAAATTTGGTCGCATATTTAAATTTCTTAAAAATTATCAGTCCACTAGAAAGCCATTAAATTTAGAAACTTTTTGTCTCTTTATACTTTTTTCGTAAAACGCAATGTTTTCGAGAAAAATGTCAAAATGTGATCGAATGCATATCGTGATTCGCCATTTTCCTCAAAAACATTGCGTTTTTCGAAACAAATATCAAGAGACAAAAAAGTTTCTAAATTCAATGGCTTCCTAGCTAACTAACAATTAAAAAACAATCTTTGTGACTAAATTTTTCTGGTTCCAAAGACAAGGGGGGGGCCACGAAAAAGTGTCTTAAGGGGGTTCCTCGCCAAAAAGCGTAGCACTGTGAGATTCCACATGTCATAAAACCCCTGTGTACCAAATTTAGTGATTCTCGTACAACATGGTTTTGAGATATAAAAAAGACTTCTTAGGGGTAGTTTTCAGGGGGCTGTAACTCCGAAAGAGGGGGCCAGTTGGCAAAAAGAAAAAATACGGGTCCCCTAAATTTGTCTTAAGAATCTATGACCAAATTTTGTTGCATGAATTTCCGGACACCCTGTATAAAATGATTTTTATACGGTTCAATATTATTTATCTTTGTGCCGCTCGCTACGCACATCGACAGAATCTATAATCGCTATAGACTGAGTTACACTGAACGTCGATCTATATTCTATCTCTGTCTTTTGCACTTGGTAAGGAATAGGGAAATTCTTTTTTAGTGGGAGTAAACGGACTTGATGTATCCGTCCTGAGAAACGTTATAACTTATAACATAAGCGTAGACTAGGGGTCTATCTAATTCCATGGCTATAATAAACTTATAAATTAAAAAACACAACTGGGACGTTTTAAAATGCTGTAATAATTAAAATAGATCAAAGTGCTGGTTATAGCAAACCGTAAAAAAATATTAGATGTTATGTTCTATTATCTTTTTTCAATATTTTCTATATCTTGTTGCCTTTTACGCAGACACGCCAATGGATTTTCGTTCCCGGCACGCTTCATCCCCCTTACTAGTCCAAAAGTTAGCGATGAGTCACTCTCTATAATTTCGACCGCGGACTTATAGTTCACCTTAAAAATGAGCACATTGTATACAGGGTATCGCCAGGTAGATGACACAACTCTTCACTATTATTTTTTATTCTAAGGACTCTCACTGATCCATATACAGGGTGGGCCAATAGTGTGAGAAAGTAAAGTAACTCCCTTGTCTAGCCTAGACAACAAAATTAATTTGAAACATACACGGCGATGAGTAAAAATGGGACACGCCAAAGTTCACGTTTTTTAAATGGTACACCCTGTATATTTTTAAACATATGGATTTCCGAGAATATTCTATATATGGCAATATAAACAGTTTATCATTTTAGTGCGAGGTTGCCAAGTTATGTAGAAAATGCTTCGAATTTTGGAAAAAATATGACCTCGAAGAAGTTGTAAGTATTAACTTTCAACTACTAACGTTTGGAGCAAACATATTTGACAGAGTTATAGGCAAATGTTAGGCAAATACTCCTATATTAGCTAATATCGATATTTAATACAGGGCATTTTTTATAATACGATCATTTTAAAAAAGTTCAAACTTTATTTTCTAGAATTTTTCAAATGGAACGCCCCGTATTTTATTGTTCTATTTTATTCACATATCAGTCCACTTCAACTTTTATTAAGTATGTTATACACCTAAAGTTGTTAATTTTTAAGATATAGCAACATTTTTGGAACAAAACTAATTTTTATTATTTTCGGTCGCGCGAAATGTCTTTGGAAAAAACTGTCACATTGTGTCGACTTGTCAGTTCACAATTTATTAATATTTTATTAATTAATATTTATTTGTGGTATTCTGTAAAACAATAAAAATTAAGTTTTTTCAGAAATGTTGCTATATCTTAAAAACTAACAATTTTAGATATAAAACATGCTTAATAAAAATTGAAGTGGACCGATATGTGAATAAAATAGAAAAATAAAATACATTGTGTTCCATTTGAAAAATTTTAGAAAATCAACTTTAAACTTTCTAAAAATGATCGTATTATAAAAAATGTCCTTTATAAAATATCGGTATTAGCTAATATAGGAGCCTTTGTCTAACATTTGCCTATAACTCTGTCTAATTATTTTGTTCCAAAAGTGTTAGTAGCTGAAAGTTAATACAACTTCTTCGAGGTCATGATTTTTCAAAATTCGAAGAATTTTCTGGCAACCCCGTACTAAAATGATTTGTATTGCCATATATAGAATTTTCTCGGAAATCCATATGTGTAAAAATATACAGGGTATTCCATTTAAAAAATGTAATATTTGGCGTGTCTCGTTTTTACTCATCGCCCTGTAATTATCAAATTAATTTCGTAGTTTAGGTTTCTTGATTCTGTATAACTTTTATATAATTTTTTTTCTGTATTATGAGTAACAAGGGAGTTATTTTACTTTCTCACACTAATGGCTCACACTGTATGTATGATATAAGAGATAATAGAAAAAATATACAGGGTAAACTTTCTAAGGCGCAACAAAAAGAAAAGAAAACAAAAGAAAATAGGAATTTGCCCAGTACGGTCTTAGACATAAAGGGTCTATTGGACTTCAGTGATAAATGTAAATAATAAATTAATTCCCACACATGGTCAAAAAATGTGCCACAAAACAAATTTTAGTGAAAATTCAAAAATATCTATCTCCAAATTTTGACCAAGGACTTTTTGCCATTACAGTCTATAGTTCATTATGAAAGTCCTAATATAAAGCAAAGTAGTTTATATAGTAGCGTATATAGTAGTATAAGTAGCATATATAAAGCAAGTTTGTAACATTCTTCTACCCTTTTTTTTCACTTGCTATGAATGAACCATTTTTTATAATACACATATTTCCTAGTGCACCACTAACATTTTTTTAACTTACCGCTGAGCATCATCATTGGAAGAAATATTCCTGTCAACACTGTATTAGCCATAGAATGGTTGACACTTATAACGGAGACCCAAAATCCTAGAAATATATCCGTATTAAATAACCTACCGATTAAATATTACATATCTATCATCTACATTCAAAAGATAAGCGTAAAATTGTTGCCAACTGAAGTGAAATAATTTAATTTCATTAATTAGCAGTTACCGTAAGACATTCCACATAGGCCTTGCAGGAAGACGATGAAATATATGAGCCACATGTACCCGACATAATTCTGTTGAACAATTGCGTAAACAACTATCAACATCTCGAAGACCTGAATCACTAAAATGGAGGCCTGCAGGATGAAGTGGGTGAGGGTTATTTCCAGGGACGTGACTCCTGCAACTATGGACCTGTCCCAAACCCCATCGTGTCTGTCCGTTATAATTATTTGAGACGTCATGATGGCACCCATGAAGAATATTATACTGAAAATAGTTTAATATTACAAATTTCACGTCACCAACTGATTTTTGTTTCAATAATTACGTTATTAAACTGCCGGGGGTCATGTAAGTCACGAACGTGTCGTCTTTTGTTCCAAAATAAAAGTCCATGCGCACCGGGAAGTCCCCTAAACCGGGTATGAAGTGGCAATCCTCAAAAATTGCATTCTGGAAGTCTATGTACAAGTCGATCAACTTGTACTTTACTGTTGCTCCGACCTGCCGATCTGCAAGGCAATTAAAATGACCTTTTCAAACATTTTAGTGACCTTTGTGGGATATTTTTACTTTCAAAAAAAGTTATTAATATTAAAACAGTTTCCAGTAAGTCTTTGCATGCTACAGCTACAGTTATAAGACTGCGATGGCAAAAGACGAAATATTTTAAGTTAAAAGTACCCACATATGTAGATGTCGAACTGCTTGTGTGTCGGTGAGATATAACCTATAAAGTGTCTGTCATATCTTAAATGTCATTGTTACTCAATGCCTACTGAAATTTAAATTTTTTGTGAAAATATCGCTTTTCTTTGTTTTTAGATGGATATCTGGCAAAAAATAACTCTGTGACTTTTATCCGAAATTAAAAAACCAAAGCGTAAATGGCTCCGACAATACTACAATCTGCAATTTACTACTTTTTTTAAAGCCTACCGTAATGACAGGCATTCTGTGAATTTTCTTTAAAAACTTTTAAATTTATATAAATGTAGATATTTTTCCTGAAACCATTGAATATAAAAATACATATCGTCCCATTAAGAAAATAATTGACAATCGCCTGTCATTAAGCTAAAATTTGAAAATAAAAATGATAGTAAGCTCCAGTTGGTAGTATTTTCGAAGCCCTTTTCTATATCGACCAAAAATGGCGGAGTTATAGCTTGCAGACAAAAGTCTTCTTGAAAAAAAGGGTTTAAAGCCATACGTTTCGAAGATACAGGGTGTTGAAATAAAAAAAATACAATTTTTTCAAATATTTCTAAAGATATTTTAAGTAGATCAATGAAATTTGCCTTAGTGCTTTAATTGTCATCTAAAACTCTAGAATTTGTACGCCATTGATTTTTTTTTTGGAAATTCGTTGATTCCTAATTGTATTAAAAAAAAAGAATTTCTTCTATTTTATTCCAAACATAACTCATTTTGTAATTATTTTTTAAAATTTTAGAAAGCAAATCATCGCACAGTTGAATAAATTTAAAATATCTCCAAAACTATGCGATTCACAAAAAAAATTTATAGGATTTTATGTTGAAAACTCAATTTTAGATACAGTAACTATCAAGAATGAAAAAAAAAAACATTGACGTGAACATTATTAAATTTTATTTCAAAATGAATTCTAGCAAATATTTTTTGGGAATACCGAATAGGTAATTTTGGAATTATTTTCAAGTTGTTCAACTGTTCACCAAAAATTATTTTTTTGATACAACTATATAGTGTGGCCCATTTGTTTGTAAGCCATCCTCTGTAAAATCTTCATTGATTTTAACTGAATTTATTTAAGATGTAGTGCTTGATGAAGTGTGTTTTGTGAAGGAAAATGACCGTGATCCCACAAAATCCACTACGTCCGTTTTTAGGAGTAAAATTTTAATATTTCATATTAGGGACTTTTTGAGAAAAATAATATTTACGCCACTGGATTCAGAACCCCCCTAAAACGGGCCAATGCCAAATTTTATCAAAAAATTTTTTAAATAATAATGATTTTGAAGCCAAATAAAAAATTCACAAGTTTTTACTTTTTTTAATTAATTTATTGTTGACATCAAGTTGTCCATGAAGCAAATCAAAAACAAAAAATTAGCATATTTCCATCATTTAAAAAATTATTTTTAAATTTTAAATACATTTGTCCCGAAAAATGAGTATATTTGATATCGACCATTCAAATAAAAAACTTAAAATTTGTATTAAAAATTTGCATTTGCTAATTTAATAAAACAAGTTATGCAGGAACCATCACATTATTTTATAAATACATTTGTCTAGAATTTTAAAAAAATTAGATATTTATCAGGATTTTAAAAGCTGTAAAAGATTAGAAGCATAATTTGGTATTATTAAAGAAATATTGATTTTTTAATTGACCATTGGCTCATATAAAATTAACTATTAACAAGAAAGTTTATGGTCTGTTTTATTTTTTTTTATGAAGATGTATCTTTTCATGGACTGAGTGTTTTTTACGTAGGTATATTATTCCGTACTGTGTAAACACCAACTTTATTTAATTCCTCATACTTACTTGACATATCCAACCAAACTTTAATTTCGCTAAAATCTAGCACCTCGTCGTCTATATCTTTGCCCTTTTCTATCCTCTCCTCGGCCGAGGCTGTGAAGTTTTGCGCTATATAAAGAACACCAACGACTTTCCCGTGCTTGACACTCTCGATTGCGTCTTCCAGATAATTAAAATGAACCTAAAATTACATTGAAAACCACGTTATTGCTAGTTTAGCATTTGCATGTTTCTGCTACACATACAGACATGTGTAAAATAAATCCCAGTGTTTTCAAAAAAATAAATATTTTTTTTTACATGATTTATTAAACCTATTGTCTGAAGTTACTTATTTGTTGCGCAGTTATCGTTTAAATAAACTCATTTGTTTATATTTCCGAGAAATGTATGTAGGTACAAAAGTGGAAACATATACAGGGTGGCCAAATGAAAACGAAACAGAGCCATTTTCACGAACTGCGTCAAAATTGTAGAAAAACGCTCAGACCCGTCGATTTTAGATTAAAGGGGGACATTCTTTGCTGGTATTTTTGACTCCGCCACTTTCACCCCCAGGCAAGAGTAAGCATCACCCCAAAATATTTAAATGGCATTGGGAATTGATTAATATTTCTTTTGAAAGCTCTTACAATTCTCTTTACAACAGACTTTAAATTTTATAATTCCGCCCAATACTTATTAAGAATTTTGATTTTACAGTTGAAACTTATGTACAAACAATTAGTAATGGTAAAAATGTCAGTCATTCGAGTTAAGTACGCCAATGGTATAAATTTAGTATTTCTTGCATTACATTGGTTTTTGGCGATTTGTTATCACTTTCCTAAAAAAAACACAATTGTAAAAAACAGAAATGAATGCTATACACACACAATGAATGTAAAATTAGTGGATTCCAAATTATTTTCTAGTATTATTTGGAAGCGTTGGTTGGTAGTTTATTTAATTATGTTTTTGAAAATTATGCACTGGTTTATTCCATTGCGGAAAGGGTAGATATCATTTCGCTTTACTTTATGACAATAAATGTGCGAATAGGGTAGCTCAGCTATTTAATGAACAACATCAGATCGAGATGTCATGTCAGGAGGAAGTATGTTCTAGAGTTAGTAAAAAAAATTCAAGAGACAGGGAACGTAGCCAACAAAAAACGAGAAATTGAAAAACCTATAGTTAATGAAGCTAGTGAAGTTGTAGTTTTGGGACAAGTTCATCTTGATCCTACATTTAAGTACGAGGCAGCTGGCATCTATGTCTGGGATCAATCAAACTAGCGTACAAACCATTTTGAGGAAGAATAAATCCCATAAAATACATTTAGTCCAGGAATTTCATGAGGATGATTATGACCGCCGTTTGCAATTTTACGAAATAATGAGTGAGCGAGCAGGGAACGATCCACAGTTCCTTTTTAACATCTGTTTTTCTGATTAATGCAGTTTTTTCTTGAACGGGACGGTAAATCATCATAATTGCCGCTATTGGTTCGATTCACACCCAAGAGTTTTTCACGAGGTGCATACACAGCAACCGGAAAAATTAAATTTATGGGCTGGAATTTTCGGTGACCGGCTGGTGGGTCCTTTTTTTCTACCTGATAATTTAACTGGCCAAATGTATTTGCACTTACTGGAAGACGCTATTGACCCTGCCTTGACTGATATTATTGAAAATGTTCCAGAGTATGATGAAGATCATTTGATTTTTCAACAGGACGGTGCTTCTCCGCATTATGTGTTAATTGTCTGTCAGTATTTGGACCAACGTTTTCTACGGAATTGGATTGGGAGAAGAGGCAGCATTGAATGGCCTCCACGATCACCGGATTTAACGCCCCTTGATTTCTTTTTGTGGGGATACCTAAAAAGTAAAATCTATAAAACGCAGCCAGCGTCGCTGGAAGATTTGCGTCAAAGAATCGTCGACGAATGCCGTCGAATCACTCCGGAAATGTTTCGGAATGTGCGCGAACGTTTCGAACAAAATCTTTATTCTTGTATGGAAGCGGGCGGTCATCAATTTGAACATTTAATCAACTAAGAAGTAAGTAAGCAACTAAACATAATTTAAAATTTAAAATGTAAATTTTTTTCAAAGTATTGGGTGGAATTATAAAATTGTGTTGTAATGAGAATTGTAACAGCTTTCAAAAGAAATATTACTCAACCCCCAATGCCATTTAAATATTCTGGGGTGATGCTTACCCTTGCTTGGGGGTGAAAGTGTCGGAGTCAAAGAATGTTCCCCTTCAATCTAAAATCGACGTGTCTGAGCGTTTTTCTACAATCTTGACGCAGTTCCTGAGAATGGCTCTGTTTCGTTTCCATTTGGCCACCCTGTATATATTTTAATCGACAAAATGGGGATTACCTTGGTTATCATAGGGTGATCAAGGTGAGTCAAAAACCTACAGCTCATGTTACTGAAGTGACACGAGCTGAAACTGTAGGGAATGGCCGTTCCGTTTGGGTCAAAATCTGGGCAATGGGTGGTCATGGTTTCATCATTAACTATAGCCAGTGGGATATCCCTCACGTCCCCACCGATGGCAATCATGAAGATGGTAATTTGAATGATCGGGAAAGTCAACAAAAATATGATACCCCTAAAATGTGAAGGCAGATTTACTTTTCGTTTATTTATCCGTTAAAATCGATATAGTAGAGTAGGAATACTTGTTATATTTTAAATATGGAGCTATCATACATACAGGGTGTCCGTTAAAGAATGGACAAAACTTTACCACTAGATTCTACGACGAAAATTAATGGGGAAAAGTCATATAGGTACAATGTTGCTCGTAAACGCTCAGTTTTCGAGATACAGGGTGTTGAAGTTGATAAAAAAAACATTTACTTTAATATCTTATTGGATTACTTCCGAGCTAATTTCGTGAAATTTCATATCCGGGGGGTTTTTGGGATAAAAAAATCGAATTTATTGACGATTTTGTGGTATCTTATAGAGGACCTCATAATCGATTATTAGGACGTTATAAGCGATCATTAGGACTGCCAACGATGTATGCTTAAAAAAATATGTTTGAAAGTTATTTTTGGCAGTCGAATTATGGAACACCCTGTGTATTCATCAATAATATTAATTTAAAATATATTTATTATCTTCAAATCCTCAACTTTTCAGATAATGGAATATAATTTTAAAATAATTAAACTTACGTAACATTTCTGTAGAATTGCTTCCAATTCTTATCCATTAATGCCCTCAGTCTACTTTTATTAAGTGTATCTCCTCCTTTAACGCGCTTTTTCTCTTTGGTCAGCATCTAAAAAAAAACAGTTTTATAATGTACGTATTATAATGAAAAACAGTGACTCTTCAAAAAAAAACAAAATAGAAGAAACAAAATACATTATACAGGCCGTGTCGATGTACAGTGGAACAAGCCGTTAATATGGCGTTGTAGATAAGTTCACTAATATACAGGGTGATTCACAACTTATCCAAAAAAAAATTGGGAATAGATGCGGCATAAGAAATGGAGCCAATATCTTAAAAAAATTTTTGTAAAATCCCTATGGTTTCCGAGAAAAAAATTACATTCAGCCATTACATAGCTGGACAACTGTAGTCCCTAGCGTCATTCGCAATACGCGTGGAGAGCCACGTGGCCTCAGCAACTCCGAATCCTGAAATCCGATTTTACAATCGTCGTTGCATTAGTGTTTACCTGTTATCTGTGGTGTTTACAATAGTTTTTTTAGTAGTTTGTGTCAAAAATGGCTTGCATATATAGCAATATAGTATTGCGGTTGATGGATATCATTTTAATTTATGGTGAAGCAACATTTTGTATTATGGTGAAGCATTTGAGTTATGGTGAAGCAAAAGTTCGTAGAAACTGAGTAAGGCGGCCCCAAATGTGTTTACACGTAGGTGGATAAAATTTTGAACAGTTGTTGTAACATTAGGTACGTCAAATTGTTTTATTATTTAAAACCACAAATTAATTTTATTAATTAAACAATAACGGCAAAAGCAGTTGAATTTGCTGATATAAAATAGGTGCTATAAAATTCTATTTATTTCTTTCCTTGCGAAATTCTTTGTTCTTTTTTATCACACTGCCGCCATTGCGGTCGCATTGTGCGGGGTCAGGTTTTACAGTGGACCAGTTTCCAGTGCCGTGCAAAAGTGTATTTTTAAATCATTTTCGAACTGCCCTCTTTTATTTTTTTTACAAAATAATTTTTTTTGATAAGTACTGAATCACCCTGTATGTAATACAAATAGATTCTACACTGAGGAAAACATTTCCTTAAAAATAAAATTTCCCTCCCTAAAATATTAGAGAAAATGTTCACACCCAATTGAGGTAAATATTTAATTTGTCTGTAATAGTAAAAAAACGACTTCCAATTGGGTACAATAAATGTATTTAAAAAATTGTAATACGCTAGGCACAGAAATTAAGGGATATTAAAAAAATCCCAAAATTTTGGGTGATTTTCAAAGAGCTGTAACTTGGAGGGAAATGGTCGTAGAGAGAATAAAAAAAAAGGAAATTTAAGCTTCAGGTGTCGTTTTCAGATCTGCATTTTAAAATTTTTTAGCCTCAGCAGTTTTTGAGTAACCATAAGAAAATCAACGAAAAAAAAATTGTAAATTTTTGTTTTTTTAAATAAGGCTTATGGACTTCATCATAAAGCTCTTTTAGATAATTTAATTCTCTTCAATTTGAGCGGTTCCGAAGCCGAAATCCATAGATCTTGTTTGAAAAAGCAAAAATTTACAAAATTTTTTTCCGTTGATTTTCTTATGATTACTCAAACTGTCGTATTTAATAAAAAACGTCTCTTGCATTTTCTTCACACAATAAACCATTTTCGAGTTAAAATTTTTTCTATTCGTATTTAATTTTAAAATAATTTCTAATAGGTTTTAAAAAAATTAAGCAGCAGTAGAAAATGAAGCAGATTTAAGACAAAGAATCATAAATGGATGTCAGAAAGTCGGACAAATGCCAGTAAGTTTGAAAATGTAGAACAGTCGTTGAAGCGAAGGCTCGTTGCTGTGTTGTTTTCAAACTTACTGGCATTTGTCTGACTTGCTGACATCCGTTTATGATTCGTTGTTTTAAATCTGCTTCATTTTCTTCTGGTGTTTCATTATTTTTTTTAAACCATGAAATGGTACCTACTAGAAATTATTTTCAAATTAAATATGAACAAAAAAAATTATAGGTAACTCGAAAATAGTTTATTGTGTGAAGAAAATGCAAGAGACGTTTCTTATTGAAAATATGACAGTAAATTAAACGTGCCTATTAATTTTTCTGAAAATCCAGTGACGTAGTTTTTACGTGGATTTTAACGACAAAGCCCCTGAGCCTCCGAAACTGGTCGACAGATTTAGACAGACAGATAGATTTAGACAGATAGAATATATCGAATTATTGCCTTTAATTATTTACATCATTTCCCCAAGTTTCGTCAATCTACGTCAAACAACTTCAGAGATAATTGAAAAAATGTGATATTTTTCAAAAACTTTAACGCTCTCTATCTTGGAAACCAGTAACTTTAGGGCCCTGGTTTATTAAGTCTTTTGTGCTTAAAATGACCCAAAATCACCCCCTCAATTTATGACACAGACTTAGGATACACCCTGTATATCTTTTTTAGAATTTATGACTAATTTACTAGTTCAACAGCACCATCTCTAGATATTGGACGTATTTTTCTATTTCAACGTTTGCTATTAAGAAATCTAAAAGCTAGTAACTGGTAAAATCAGACACAATAGTTTACTAAAAAAAATAGAATACATACATCTGTGGAGCCGTGAGCGATGTCGAAAGTAGCTATGCTAGTCGTAGAGGGTGCGTGCGCAACAACAGAATTATTTTGATCGTCGGCAACAGGATAATTTAACTCGTCCAGCCGTCCTTCTTCTTGTCGCCTGCTGAGTATGAGGAACACGTCTTCCAGTGTATCCGTGTTGAAGATAGAGAGCAACCTGTTCGGAGATTCTTCGGCTAAAAGTCGACCTTCTCGCATCAAACCAATCTGCACAAGACAATATCGTTAAAAAATTATATTTTGCATGTTTCGACGTTATTCAAAAACTTAAAGAAAAACTATAAAGTATAGTTTTTATTTTACTTGTAACGTTGCAATAAAAGGAATCAACAACGTATTGAAAGGTTCTCCACAAATATCTGAACAAAAATTATGTGTCAATCTTTAAAAAGCCTTACCTTATGCGCCTGCCTGCACTCTTCTATGTAATGCGTGGTTATTATCACAGATACCATCCCTTTGGTCGTGATCTCTACCAGGTGATTCCAAATCCTGAAACGGAAGTATTAATAGAAACGAATTTTATAGGCAAGTAGAAAAAAATACCTGTCTCTTAGAACTGGGTCTACGCCGACTGTAGGTTCATCCATGATAAGCAGCTCGGGGCTATGCACCAGGGCTGCAGCAAGAGATACTCTTCTTTGCTGGCCTCCGCTACAGTTTTTCAAATATCTGTAAATTTCAAGGACAATTACTTTGAAAAATATTAAGCTAAAGCTCTTTGACATTGGCATCTAGGTACCTATTCCTAAACAGTAACTTCAAAAAGCTGTTAATGATATTGTAGGAAATAACTACTCTGTAGACTGAAGACCCGTCCGGCAATATTTAGTAAAGATGTTATATCCCTAATGTTTATGGATTATTTAAGTGTAGAGCGATTTTTTTTAATTCCTGGATTCCAAATGCATATTCAAAAAGAACCTCTATTCCAACATTTTCTTTAAAGTTTAAAACTAACGACATTGTGGAAAACAACTACTCTGCGGTTTGTAGTCCCGTCCAGCATTGAATTATTAGATATCGATGGTGTAATTAAATGCTGGAACGCTGTAGACAGCAGAGTAGTAGTTTGCTACAGTATCATTGGTTAAAAGCTTTATTTCACCTACTGCGATACTAGCCATGGGTTCTCAGTATCTACAGATTAGTAGGTCGCTCTCTGTCTGTAGATACAAAGCAAACTTTGATCACAAATTATAAAGTTATCGATATCTATTGTGTTTGTTTGTTTCTTGGGAGAACATAAAGTTTTTTTATAGTACAAGTCGACAGAAAGTATTTCTTCTCTAGGAAAACCATGAAAAATACCATAAAAAGTCGTAGACAATTTTTATAGGGCTGTACTAATTTATTCATCCAATTTAAACATAGTGAACCCTCTAACCCGTCACTGGTTAGCTGCCTGTAGAGAATATTAAGTACCAATTTTGGTTCAATTCCCTTAATTATATACATATATATTTTTTAATTCTCTTTGTACCTCGAAAAGAAAAGGAATTTGGAATAATACGGAGGATCTAACAAAAAATGTCGAAAACAAACGCGTTTACAGTATTCCTGTGTGAGTGTAATAAACACCATGTCGGCTATGTTCAAATAGTAATGAATAAATCTTTAGAGGCAGGTTAATTGATTTTTTATTTGGCACTTAATATTTAATATTTCCTGATTTAAATCAAAGCACCATAAAACTTGTATCATATTTCAATTTCTTGCTAGTGACCTTGTTTGTAAGGCTAGCAAGAACCACAAAACATAAAAATTGCGAGAACCAGTAAAATAATGAAATAATTGACTCATCGTTGTTGCCAAAATTACATTTTCAAGGGAATTATATTGATATTTTATATTTTATGGTATACAGTACAGACCACGGCGGAGGTGGATGTGAGAGAGGGCAAGCAATTTTTTTCTGGATTACCTTCAGTACAACTCGCATAATAAAAGTGTAGATCCGTAGGTCTGGGCGAGGCCCGGAACATTTTCAAAATTGCAAAAATGTTGGAAGAATATTGAAGAGGAAAAAAGTTTTAGAATTGAATTGAATATACTGTAAATTAAAAATGTTTAAATTGATGAAAAAAAAGGCAAAATAAGTTATTTTGGATATTTTTTTTTAATATTTTAATTGTTCCGAGGGCATTCTGATTTTGGTAAAAAAAACTTTAGAGAATAATAAAATAACACACCAAATTTCATTAAAGTCGGTTAGATAGTTTTCGCAAAATAATTTTTTGAAAAAAATTTTGAAAAAAAATTCTCCAATTTTCAAAATGTTGCACAGCCTCAAATAAAGCATCTTTATTCTTCTAATCGGTTGATTAGGACGGCCAGTAAATTTTTGAGTTAACACTCTATTTTTATTTTTAAACAATTAGACTACATTTATCAATTTGCAATTTAGTTTTTTTCAAAAATTATAATTTTAAAGTACTATTTTTTAGTATTGCAAATTGATAAATGTAATCTAATTGTATAAAAATAAAAAAAAGTGTTAACTTTAAAAATTTACTGTGACCGTCCTAATCAATCGATTTCAATTTTTCAAAATTTTATTTGAAGCTGTGCAACATCTTGAAAATTCGACACATTTTTTCAAATTTTGTTTTCAAAAAATTATTTTGCAAAAACTATTGAACGGATTTTAATGGAATTTGGTGTGTTGTTTTATTTTACCTTAAACTTTTTTTACCAAAATTAGAATGCCCTCGGAGCAATTAAAATATTTTTAAAAAATTATCCAAAAATCTTTTTATTATTTGAATTTTTTCATCAATTATTACTATTTTGCAACATCGGTAATAAATTTAAACATTTTTAACTTGCAGTATATTGCGCAAAATTCAATTCTAAAACTTTTTTTCCTTTTCAATATTTTTCCAAAATGCACAGTTTCCAAGATATAAGTAAAAAACTCAGATAAAATAGGTATTTTTTTAAATTTTTTCAACACTTTTGCAAATTTGAAAATGTTCCGGACCTCGCCCAGATCTAGGGATCTACACTTTTATTATGTGAGTTATACTGAAGGTATTCCAGCAAAAATTAGCTTGCCCCCTCTTAAATCCAAGAAGTGGGATATTTCGACAGCTCCGATCTGAACAGACTACGTCTGCATTTAAGCATTTGTTCAGTGGCAAAAAAGCATTTCTTTAACGTTTTGTTATATTGACGAGCAAATATTTGTTGTTTGTTTGTTTTTGCGCCGTGCATTTGTTTAAAAACGTATATGTAAATATTATTATAACTAGGCTTAATACAGTAAATCAATCTTTTAGTTGTCTCCATATGAAAATTAAGTTTTGTCAAGTAAAATTTACGAGGTAAGTATGAATGAGACAACAAACTGTCTTGAAATTAGCACTTTCAACTAAAAAGCCGTGAGAAAATCCTTACTGTTCAATATAATTAAGTAGAAAAAATTAATTACAAATATTTTACAAATTCACATACCTTTCGTCTGGTGGTAGTTCGAGTAAGTTGTGTAGTTGATGATATCTTTCATTAATCGATTTCTCGTCCATATTGAAGATTCGTCCGAAATAGAAGACGGCATCCTTTACTGTAAATTCCCCCACAAGAGCTATGTCCTGGAATATTAAAAAACACAAGGTGGAGCACTACAATGTGTCAAAAATAAAGGAGATTTTTCAGTCAAAGTTAAAAATGTTTTCTTATATACATTTCGCCTCGAGACATTCATTTTTGAGACACAAAAAATAGTTAAGTATATAATGCTGTTACCTTTATTTAAATTATGTTATTTCACTAACGACTAAAAAAAATAGCCATTAGTTACTAAAATTTGAATTAAGTCACTAAAAAACAATCCATAAAGCGCTTACAAAACCGCAAGTGTTGGAAAAATAATTGTAAACGTATTTTTGCTAGCTTAAATACTAATTACATACTAATAATAATACGCTTCCATTTTTGAGCTTCTTTCTGTTTATTTTTCAATGAACTAACCGTTTTGACTTATGTTTCAGTGGCGAGTAACAAAGATTTTAAATTTAAAAATAAGAGAGACATAAGTTTACCAACAAAATAATTGTGCATTTGGTGATTCGAATACGTTGTTAAAATTTCTGCTTATTTCTGACACTACTTTTTGAGGTAGAGAGAGTTGAGGTTTTAAAAAATTTACTTTAACCAAATTACACAAAAAAAGCATGGAACATTACTCAAGAAGAATTTATCTCTCAATCTTATCTGACATTTTTATTTTTGGATGTAGCATAAGAAGAAAATTTCATTCATCTCATTGTCAGTGGTTGGAAGAGATCTAAGCGTCAATTGAAACACTGTACCTAGACGCTCATGACTATATAAAAAATTTTGTTATCGGCTTCAGCAGAATCGTCGCATATTACTGAATTATTCATAATTCAATTTAAAATTTAAATCGCGATGAGTGATGAGTTATTAACGTCAATTTTGCTTTAACATTTCTGTACCGTCGTTTAGCCAAACATTTCTTTCGTGTAGTGAATATTAAAGTAACAGTAAGTATGGCCTTTTTTTCCGCAGTCTTCGTTCCACTTTTATCCATGACATTATATTGTCGGATATATCCAACTCCATTACGAGACATTCATGTATTTTATGGCTCTATTAAAGGAAAATCTAATTTTTGAGTCAGTCTAAAAAGTTTTTGTATATCTAGATTTCTGGTGTCGATTTCAATTGATAAAATTAAAAAAAATATATATTTTTAGTTTATTTGAACTAGAGAGTAAAAAATACCAGATCCAGTAATAAAATAAATGTTATTTAAAAAGGGTACATGATTGTTGATCATAATTTAAATGTCAAATCAGGACCAAAATAGAAAAAATATTAAACTGACAAATATTGATCCAACCATAAAAATGTCCAACAAATAGATATGGATATGTCAGAGTATAAAAAATGAGCTTGAAATAGTAACAATTGTAGCATATTTCAGTTTTTTTGTGTACAGGAAACTAATTTTGAGCTCTTATCGAATAAATATTTATATTTTTATTTTATGTATTACGTAAATATTTATTTTTAATTTGTAACATGTTTCTCTTAAGGGCGCCATATTCTTTAAATAGTGTTTTCCAAAAAGACAAATAATTTCAAACATTTAATAACCGAATAATCTAAAGCTTATCAAATAATAGGAACGTTATGTCATGCCACCTGAGTATTTTCAAAGACGCCGCAGTAAAACGAATAAACAGGTGCAAAAAAACGATCAAACCATCAAGGTTTTAGGTACTGAAATCTACGAAAATACTAACTTTTTTATATATAACTCTACATGTAAATATTCTTATAACATTTACTTGCTTAGTCCTACGTATAAAATAGTTTACTTTTATTTATAAGTACGTGAAAATAATTCTTAAAATGTGGGGGAGCAAACACATGTTTTACAAACACTTTTTTTAGTTATTATTTTATTTGGGTAAATTTAAATGGTACCAATGAATAAACAAAACATCAAGGTTTTTATTTTTGTGCTTACTTTTGTTCTACACGTTTTACTTTTAGAGATTTCAGTACCTAAAAACGCCAGAAATTTCATTATTTCCCGGCCAGGGATATGGCCACCTTAAGCTATAATCAACATTTTCGAGAGATTTGACATTCCGGTAAAGTTAAATAAATAAATATATCGTTCTGGCCATTTCAAAAATCGATTTACCACAAATTTTGCCGATATAAATGAAGAATACATTTTTTAAAGAAAAAAGAGTATCTAAAAATAACTTTGGGATTGATAGCATCAGCCAAAAAAAACGTATGTTGAGGTTAGTCCCTTTCTGAACATCTTATAATAGTAAAAAGTTTATTTTTTATATTAAATCATGGAGCCTTATCTACAGCACACTAATTTTATATCGAAGGTTTTTTCAAAGTTGGAATCCAAAACATTAAAACATAAAAAATATATAGGAAGTTCTGGTGTTATTTTGACCTCCTGTATATGCTCCCAAAAGACTAGTATATACTTAGCGGACACCCTGTATACCTAACGCTTACCTGAGGCATATAACCCACTCTTGGTCCTGGAACACCACCACCTGGTTCACCAGGTTTTCCTCCTAAAACCCAGATTTCACCCCCATCGATCTTTTTCCTTCCCACTATACTACTCAGCAGGGTGGTTTTACCACAACCGCTTGCTCCTAGCAGACCATAACTAAAAATCGAAACCGGAATTAATATTCAGCTAATCTCTAACATCACTAAGGGTATATGAATTTATATTTTATTGATATTTGTTTCATGAAAAAAGTATAAAAATGTTTGAATATAGTTTATTTTTTACAGCTACACTACTTTACTGAAAAAATAAATTGTACAAGGTGCATTTCAAAGTAAACAGGACTTTTTAAAAATAAGAACCATAAAAAGTTTTAGATCGTCGACCAGAATGTTATTCAGGATGTCGGTACAAGCCTTTTGGATGCCTTCCAAGTCCACAAAACACTTTCCTTTCATCGGCAAATGCAATTTTTCGAAAAGGCAAAAGTCGCACTTTGCCAAACCAGGTAAATACGGGGAGTGGTTGACACTTAAGATACGATTTTTAGTCAAAAAATCGAACCACAAGTGTCGATCGATAAGATGGCGCCTTTTTGGACAAATACGATGCACCAAACCGCTTCAAACCGCCAAGAGAGAATTGTGCATTTCCCAAACGAGATTTTTTGGGTTTTGAATAGTCTGACACCTTCCACTCGTCACTTTGGTGCTTGATCTCTTGAAAACACCGCATTTCGTCACCAGTCACAATGTTGTAAATTAAGTTCTTGTCCTTTTTGGCCTCCTTGATAATGTCCTTCGAATGTTGAATTTTGAACAATTTTTGGTAGTCAGTCAACTAGTGCGGAACAAACCGGATTTTTTTTTATATGATTTATGGTGTATCTAATGAAATTCAAACATATGAGCTAACGGCAAATATAAACTTTATAGTGACCGTAAATAGCTCAGTATATGACGGTTTTTAGGTCCGAATTCTTGACACATGCACCGATTGACGTGAAATTTTAACAGTAAGTGTGCTTTCACCCTGAGGTGAATGCCACCCCTTCTCGGGGGTGACAATGAAGGCACCCATTTTAATCGCAAAAATCAATAGAAGGATGAATTCTAAGCAAAAAGTACTATATAATGTTTTTTCCAAAAATTAAAAATTTTCCGAGTTATTTGCGATTGAAAATGTTGATTTTTCATCTAAAAAGTGCATGTTTTTCAACCATTTTTGATAAATAACTCGAAAACTTTGCGTTTTATCGAAAAACCCATATAAAGCAAAAATAAAGTTTTTGAAATAACGAATCTATTCGTTATTTTGTTGATTATCGTAGATGTAATAATAACCGAGTTATCACTCTATAAAAGTGATTGTTTATTTTTCGGAAAGTAAAATCGATCCTTTTACCGTAAAATAGTGGCGAAAGAACAAATTTTTCGAAGAAAATGAATATAACCTTTTTTAAAGTGCTTGGAAAGACCTTTAAAATGTTTTTTTTTTCATAGCTCAAAAACTCGCGGAGTTATGATGAAAATAAAATGGTCATCTCATTTTTTCGGAGAAAAAATCAACAATAAAATCTATGGCTGAACCATAAAAATAGAAACTAAGCGTAATCCATGTACAGTGACTTTATTTATGTACCAATAAGAGGCTCTGCAAATTTGACCGGTTTGACCGTAGAATGCCTAAATTTAAAAAAAGTTTGAAATAACGAAAACAGTTGGAACAGTTGCCAAAATTGTCCTCCAATCACGAACCAAACAGAGGAAGTCGAGGAAGATAGTTCTTTAGATGATATGTAAATTTTTGATAATAAATTATAATTCTATAATACACAAATAATTTTTATTTTCCCTTTCACTAATTACATAATTTAAGTTTCGAGTTTTAAGTAATCTCGTTGAATTTAGTAATGTATCGTTGAGTCTTTTGAAGCAGGTAAAAATTCTTCAATTCCTCATTAAGGGTTGTTTTTAAGGGTTGAAACGTTGTAATAAATCATGTATTATTTCATAAATAGTAAAAAATATTTAATCCTTCATTATTGCTCCGTCAAAACATTTCAGAGCCGCGAAAACTAATTTTTGTTTTTTTTCCCTGATAAAGGGTGGATTTTAAGGGTTGAAATGTAGCTACAAATCAAAAATTATTATTCAAAACATAAAAGAATGCTTATTCTATTGAGATAACACTTACATCTATGGTTTTTACGTTTTTTGCAAGTGTTTTCACCCCCTAAAAACAATAAGCACACATTATGGATATGTATCTTTTGTAAAGGAGGTACTTTTACCGTTGTATACTGGACTACAAGTGATAAGTACAGAAAATGCGATAACTGCATTGAAGGTGAAGGTTAAAGTAAATGCCATGTGCAGACTATAAAACTCATATATGTAGACGCAACTCGCAGAACTCATCGTTTTCGAAATCATAAAACGACAATGACACTAAATAAAATTATTTTGATCCAACAAGAATCAGTGGATGATTTCTTTTGTTGGTTCAACAGTTCGTTCAATAAAAATGTATAATCCTATAGAATTTAAAAATAAATTGTTTCTTTGTATCTATAAAAATAATTAATTGTACTGGTTTTGTTGTAAGCATCTACGCGTTGTCAAAATTCATAAAAACCTGATTTTACATGCTATAAATACTGTGATAATATGCTAATGTATTTAAATACATTCTAAAATATTGAAATTGAGCAATAAACAATTGGTACCAATTCAAAGAACAATGGTTTTTTGGGTAGTTATGCGGTGGCCTATGTACCTAGTCACCGACAGTTACAGTATTACATTGCATTTCGTCAGCTTTAGTTAGGAATCTTTGATCTGCCCTTGTTTTCGGACTAGGCTCTGTGGACGCCAAAAGTTATTCTCTGGGCACAAATCCCGCTAAAAGCATAGGTAAGCGATTACAGATGACTTGCAACGCCACCAAATTTTCACCGATGTTTCGAAAGTTTCGCAATATGGACGACGCTATTTTTGAAAAATGAAACATTTCCAAGTATTACGTGATTCGGACTGAGGTAGCACCATATCGTTAGAAATCACCAAAATGAGACAGGCCAATAACCCTTCCAAGACAGCCAACGTTCCAAGACAGGCGGTTTTTGAAGAGGCTAAATTTTAGAATCCAGCAGATCCAGCCTAGAGTGTGTACGAATGTCAACCCGAGTACCTTGCGTTAACCAGGGGCATGACTGGTACGTGTAGTACGGCACGAAATTTAAAGTTGCATTATATAAAGCAAATATGTATTTTATCAATAAATCCAATTTTTAATAATTCAGAACATTGTTAAAAAAATTTCACCAATTTTGCGAGTGCATTTCTCCCTGCCTAGACCTCAGTTCTAGTGCCCCATCCAGCCAGGTATTTTCTAATCCTGCGGTGAAGATCCCAAGGGATATAGAGAGCTTTTAAAAGCTTCTCAAATTCATAGGAGGCCTGCACAAGGTCCAAGAAGCTTCCAGGTACTCACAAGGGATCTTAAACCAGTACTAGACAAGGCAAAATCTAAAAGCCAGGAATATAGACATCAGAGTAACCATACTCGAAGTGTCCTCGAGAGGGGAGCTACCCGAAAATCCCGTTTGCCTCTTTGCCGCGAGAAGACGAGAGTGCACGACAGGGCATCTTTTATACAACAAAATTGAAAATATTGATTGATTGATTGAATATTAATATTATGGCTCAAATAATTATTTTTTTACCTATTATAACAAGATGCTGACAAGCGAAGGAAAAAAGAAGTGACCTTACGTCAAACATTAATTATTTCGAAATGATTAATGTTTGACGTATAGCCATTTTTTTTGTCTTTTGCTGGTCAGTAACGTTTATTAATATGTAAATATACTATTTTAAAACATTTACTAGTAAAACTATGGAAAAGATAGGAAAAATTTAACGTGGTCGAAAAGACAGTCTTGTAAAGAAAATTTTATTAAAAAATAAAGTATCAGTGACATTTTTCCGATTTTTATTATCATTGGGACAAAACATAAAGTTATAAATCATTTAATTTATTTGATCCATACAACTACCACTGTTTATGTTTATAGTCCATTGAAAAGTTATATTTGGGGTTGCAAAAGTCAGAGCACGCAATTTTATTTTTTGGATGTCAAGAGGGGGTTAGTGTAAAGTTAAATCCACGTTTGTGGGGTCGCAACCCTTGTGCATCGGCCGCCATCTTGTAAAAAGGGCTGCGAATGGTTTTTACTACTACTTACTATATCGAGCAAACTATTCGTCGTACAGAAAATTTGCAAATACATTTTTTGTTGCAAATTAAATTGTCTACAAATTTGGTTCCGTAACTTTTAGTTAAAAATAACAAAGTTATTAACGAAAATAGATAAAGATGTGGGAACAAATTTTCTTTTGGTCGTTATAACTTTTTTCTGGGCATTTTACAAAAAAATTACATCAGAGCATTTTGATACAGGGGTTTTCAAGGACTAATTTCCAATACAAACTTTTTTCAAATTTTATTTATTAACTAGAAAGGTAGGCAAACTTCGCTGACGCGAAGTTTGACCTTTCTCTCGGGCCTTCGGCCCTCGAGCCGCGCTGCGCGCGGCCCGAGCACCGCTCCGCGGTGCTCTCCTCGCTGGTTAGTAAATATAACATTTTTTGAAACACCCTGTACTTTAGTTTTTAAACACCCCGTATATAAAAGTTTAATGAGAACGTTTTTCAAAAAAGAGTAGGCCCCGCTCGGGGAAAGACTAAGAAAAGTTTCTTCCAAACTTCCAAAAAAGGCATCTGGTTAAATGAAAAAGGAAAAACCTAGTCCACCTGTGTCAGTTTTATGAAACACCCAGTACATAAATTGCAAAAAACATGTGGTTAGTAGGGAATAAGATTTTTCATAAAAATATTGCAGACTTCAGTACAAACTGTAGAAATGGAAACAAATATACCTAAGGAAAGTTTCGTTCTGTTGGTAATTGGATCAGTTTTGTGGAACATCCAGTATAAAGATTCAAAAAGACACCTGGTTAATAAATATACAATTTTTCATTCAAAGACTCTAGTAAATAAAGACAAAGTTAAAAGTGAAAAAGGAAAAAATTGCCCGTAATTCAGCAGATGTGGGTCAATTTTGTGGAACGCCCAGTACATATATAGATTTTC